TCAAAAAGAGGACGCCAATACGGAGTGGATCGTGAGAAATAATCCATCGCTTCTTTTTCGAAAATACATCGCAATGAAATTATATAGGAAAATTCCCGTTTATTTGTAACAGGAAAACAGCCTCCTTCGTTACGTAAGGGAAGGATTCGAAGAAAAATTCCAGTAAACAAGATTGCCCTCGAAGATATCAAAAAGAATATTCTTGTAACGTATTACACATTTCACAATATCGATTATAATTAATTCTTTCGTCGCGAATCCTTCGATTGAATTAAAGATGCATATTAAAAAAATTAATACAATCGATCCACTTTAAACGATACTCTATTGAAATTAAGTATCGATTCCATATCTTTATATTTAACGCAGAGATGTTTCGATACATACATATAATAATATAATATATACATTTTTCAGGAACGTGAAACGAGACGTTTTTAGAGACGAGAAGTTTTCACGAAAGAACCATTTCCGACTACACTGCACATTGTAATCTTATCGTTATTGTCCCATGATCGATATTCCGTGCAAACGTGCACGTTTCTTTCTCATTGGCGACTCTATCCCGGACTCTCGCGTTCTCGTTCTTCTTTCGCCGTTGTTCGCACGCGGGATAAAACATGGATGCGCCCAGGGAGATGGGAGGAGATGCGTTTGTACACACGGTATCACGGGAGGGAACACGGAATCTCATTTTCTTGCGAAAAACGCTATTCAATACGTCGCCACGGCTCTCTTTGCCACCCTCTTTTGTTCTCTATCCATCCCGTTATCCCTTCCCTTCCTCCTCCCTCCATTCGTTATATATAAAACGTTTATTGTCATTCCACGGGAAAAACATTACGGGTATTGTTGCGGTGATACGGAAATTCCGATATCGATCTAATAATTTCACGTGAATTTTCCTCACCTCACCCTCCTCCTCCTCCTCTCTCCCCCTTCTTTTGAAATTTCGGCTCGATCCAACTGCAATTTTCTCGTTTGTCCTAATTTTTTTTCTTTTCTTTTTGAAAGGGAGGGAGAGGGAGGGGAGAAGGGGTTTTGAAAAAGGTCGAGTCGAGGTTTGAATTCTATTGTGGGGAAGGAAACCCTCTCTCGAACCGTCTTGTCCGTTCCATGATGATTTTTTTTACGAATATTGTACGAATACATTTTCAGTCCAGCAGAGAGAGTCCCCCATTAAATAACCACTTCTGTGAATCGCGAATCCGTTAAACGTAGCGGAAATGGAAATATTATTTTGTTAAGAAGGGGATGAAGGGGAGTCGGTGGTAAATTACCTTCATTTTCGGGAAACATTTTTAGAAAGGGTCCTTATGCAATGCTTCAATGTTTCCGCGCCATTTGCTCGAGCATAATGGAGGGTTAGTTCGAGTAAAGGATAGTACCACCGCAAGATGACGAGTCCTTTTGTTCCTGCGAATGGTTTACTTTCTCGATTCTCGGATCTCAATTCCTATGATTTTCTTCTAGGCTTGAATATCGAATCGAAAAGAGCCCATTCAATCGATAGACAGCGCTGGATGCATCATCAGCCTTTTCATCGTATTTGATGAAAAAAGAGAGGAAAGAAAGAAAGAAAGAAAGGATATCAGATGTGCGATTTTCCAACTCACGAGAATGTAACCGTAATTTATTAAAAAAAAGTATACACATTATTGTAAAATATATTTTTTCGAAACAATAGGGAAAGAAAGAGAGAAAAGAAATCATTTTGCTCTCAATTACAATTGAAAAGTTTGCCTTTTTTTCATTAACAGCTTATTCGATTGTATCAATCACGGAAGGATTCCGGTATAGAGCGTCAAACGATCTGTCGAAATTTTCATTATTTCCCGATGCTTTCGGCCAATCCGTGTTCACACGCGTGCTTTTTTACAAACGAACGCGATTAAACAGCGCGCGCCGGGGAAAAATTGATCGGGGATCGGAACCCCCGAGCTTTTATCTCGGACCGTGCGACCGGTAATTTTCATACAAGGCGGGTACAATGAGTCCGTTAAGTTAGTAATTAGGGCTATTAAACCGGTAAAGGTCGCGTAATTTAATTGGTCATTCGTTATTTGTCCGCGTACCTACGGCGACGAGCGATTGATCGAAAAATTTGTCGACTAATTAAACGTGCCGCGCGCTCGTGTATATACGTGTGTGTGTGTGTGTGTGTGTGTGTGCGTGTATATCGTTCGATCGTACGTCCAGAGAATTATAAAATGAAACGAACCTTTGAGTTCCCGACCTTTTTCCCCGGCCAATTATCGACAGATACGGAACCGCTCTCTCGTCCAAGAGTTTCTCTTTCTTTCTATCCTCGAAAAAAGAAAAAAAGGAGGAAAAGAAAAAAACTAGAAATCCACCAGGATCGGCGAATAGGGATCGGGCGCAAGAAGGAACACGGTCGATGGCGTTCCCTGTCGAGAGACGAGAGCTAGAGCTGCCGAGAGTCGGGATTCAAAAGGGATGCCGGATAGAAAGTTAATTATAAAGCGCGGGGCCTCCGGTCGTCAAGCAGTATCGAAGATCAAAGTCCAAAATGTTGCCCGATCTTCCTCCATCTAGTTTCCACTCGCAAAATTTATTAATCCAAGGTACGCCTTGTCGAAAGCATCCGGCAAATTGACTAACTGTTTAATTAACTAATAGCAACTAGGAGTCAACGACCTCCTCCTCCTCCTCCTCCTCCCCTCCCTCCCTATCCTTGGAAACTCGCGCCTCGCGCTTGGATTCGAGCCATCCCCGAGTCTCGTACAGTTAAAAAAAATGGACGATCTTTCGCCAAAAGATCGTTTCGCTCGCCACGAGGCGAGGCGGATTGGAACGCGAGAGCCTATATAACGGAATTAATGCCGCGAGAAAGTTTCTTATTTAACGCCGCGGCAGATGCCGCAATTGCGTTTAGCAGCCGCTGCTGTTGGTGGACCGGGTTCGATTATGCAAATCGTGATCCTTGGTTCAGCCGCGTTACGTAAGAATCGCTAAAACTACCCATAACCAGCCAGATGCTGGTCGAGCCAGAGAGAGACAGAGAAAGAGAGAGAGAGAGAGAGAGAGAGAGAGAGAGAGAGAGAGAGAGAGAGAGAGAGAGAGAGAGAGAGGGAGAGAAAGAGGTGGGCCTCCCGTTCGACCCTTGGTCCACTTACTCCTGCGAATCATCTTCTCCTTCCCACACGTGAACCGAGTTAAGCCGATATTCTCGAGAAGATGCACGATGCACCGAGTCTGACGGGCGCGGTGAATGTAAATTTTCATTAAAATCTCGGCTCCCTACGTTACCTACGTTTCCTGCGGCAGATTTCACCAGTCTAGCCGGTCGATTACAACCGACTCGTGGAAATTTTCGTTTCCTTTCCACGAATATTTCCAAACTGAAATCTAACGTGATGTATCAAGAATTGATTTATATTAATTCCAAATTTCAATTTCACTTTTCGACTATCAATTAATAGCCGGATAAACTTGTGATCCTAATCTATTTATAAAGAAAAAGTTTTTCCTCGATATACTTTTCAACGCGATCGCTTTAAGTCGAGATATTAAAAAAAAAAAAAAGAAATCATCGTCACGGGGAAATACGGAATTCGAATTTCAGAGGTCTCGTAAATTAAGCACGGTACATGTGCACACATCCGTCAAACAAAAGAAACTTACTTCTGAGAAACTTGGGCGGAATCGAATTCACGATTAATAATTTCCCCTCGTTTCCGCTCGTTACACTCCGCCCAAGCCGGGTTCATTATACCACCGTGAACCGGGTGCATCAAGGGTAGTCGCATCCTGCGACAACGCCCCCTCCCCCCCGCGCAGGAGGAGCGTCCTCGAGGCAACCGCAGTGCAGTTGCAATTTCAATGCGCCCGTGCCAATTAATGCGAAGTCGTGTTCGAACTACCGATGGCTCGTGTTAACGACGTTTCCACCATCGAGTGCCAATTATCGATATTAAATGTCCAAATGGAATCGTGCGTCGTTTCGAGGAAAACTTTTTCTTCTCCCTCCTCCTCCTCCTCCTCCTCCTCCTTCCCTCCTCCACCGACTTTCATTAATTCGAGGGAAAGTTCGATTCCTGCCAGCTCGAGAAGGCATTGAACATTTTTCTCCCTCGAATTCGTTTTACTCGTCGAAGGCGTCGGTTCACCGAATTTCCAGCTTAACCCGGGATAACCCGCGTGTTGCACGCGCGTTCGTTACGAACTTATACGAACCGTTATGAATAATCACCGCACTGTTTGTATGGAAAACTGTTGGTGGAACAATGCCGCGCTAACTATCGGCCAAGTTTAATTATCGAGCGCGTTCTCGCAAACTGTTATTTTAATCCCCCCTTCCCCCTGAATCGAACCGAACCGCGTCCTGAAATTGTCTGTCCACGGCACCTCTAAATTCCGAATTGGATCTGTCTACTAATCGGTCGTAAATGGAAATCGAAAGGATTGGATTATTACGCGGAGAGTTTCGAACGAATCGCTCGTCATCGATTTTCGAAGACTCGTGTCCAGGTTTCGTTGGAGAGGTTCTTCAGGAAGGCAAGGATAAATTTGAGGGGGGTGAGAGTGGACAGAGACAAAGCTTGTCGACGCGAATACGATTCCTCATTTCTAGAAAATTTATTCCCCCGTTCTATCATTTCCAACGGAGAAGGAGTAAATAATGCGTGAACTTTAAATAAGCGTCTTCTCGATGATGTTACTTGTGAGACATTATGCATAATCCAACGATAGAAACCAAAAAAAAAAAAAAAATAAAGAAAAGAAAAGAGGACGCGACAACGTAATGGTTGGAGACAATTGGAAATGATCCGATAAAAGGAAAGGGATGAAGGCGACGTGGAAACGTTAGGGGTGAAATGACCTTGAAAAAGATCTCTCTCGACGATAATGATCGAGTCGCGACATGTACGATATAAATCGAGACTATTGCTCGTTGCATCGTCCTCCGACAGGAAATGAAATTACACAAATCCGTATTATAATCCACTTTTCTTTTTTCTTTTCTCCCCCTGTTTCAGAAGGCAGTTCTCGCAGGGAGGGAGAGAATGAGCGACGCTCGGTTGGCCGCTAACAAGTGCCAACGGAATCGTCCTTTACACCGGCGAAATTGAACCTGGGGGAAGAGCTACACGAAGAGGGAGTTGGAAGAGGACGGAGAGGACTCCCCCGTTTCTCCGTTCGGCTTAATCCGCTCGTGAAACCCGGCCAAGGGGGCGAGAAATCATCGAGCTAGAACGAATTATGAAGGATTCGGGTTTGGAAATTAATCTCGACGATTACCTTTTCGAGAATGCTCGCCGATCAGTTCGTACTCGAAACGTATCTCTCGGTCTAATTGGTCGATAATCGTTTTCGAATCCGATCAGCCGTTTTTAATCGCTCGTGTTTCGGTGCACCGGAAGAGATGCGAAGCGCGAGACGCGTGTCAAGGATCCTACGACAACGTCCAAGGAGCTGCGTCCATCTCGTACAGCGACGAATCGATCCGACTTTAGATTGAATAGCGAGATTGGAGCGAATCGATGACCCGATCCGCCTGGTGTGAGCTCGCCGCCGCACACCTGGGTGGAACAGCGTTGAATTTTCGCGAGGTTGATATGCGAGGTTCGCAAGGGTGAGACTCGACGTAGGTAGAGACGCAGGGAACAATGACGAGCGAGGTGAACGCGACGAAGGTGGGGAGCTCGGGGGGCGCGATGAGCCTCGTATCAACGATATCCTCGTCGCCTGGAGGCTCGGTTTCAGCAGCGATTGCGACCGCTGCCACGGCAATCCCGACTAATCCGTCCACGACAGTAACGGGTGGAGCTGCGGTCACGAGCACCGCTAAACCCGATCATCACGTCTACAACGCGACCGGCTACCTCGTGGAACACGACGAGCTCGATCACAGTAAGTAATAAGAGGCCGAGGTTGAATACGGTTAATGCCCGTTACACCGGTATCAAAGCCGGACCTAATGGAAGCTGCATTAGGCCGCTCTCACGCCCGGAAATGCCACTTACCGATCATCCCCCCTATTTCTCGCCGCGTCTGCCTCTTTCTTCTTACCTCTTTTCTCTCTCTCTCTCTTTTTCTTTTCTTTCGATCAACGGGGACGGGCTTTTGATCCTCGTTGATTTTCGAGGATGAAAATCGCATTTTCGAATCGCCGCATTTTAACGATGGTTAAAAGCGGAAGAGGGGTGTGGATAGATTCGATTCGATGTAATATGGAATATGAAAACGGCGTTGAGTTTTTCACGCGAGACTGAAAATTATTCGTTTTCGATTGTATTATTCGTTTCGATGTAGAGAGAGAGAAAGAGAGAGGGGAGGAGAGGTATCTTTCTCGATCAAAAAACTCCGGTTTTCGTTTCATCGGGAATCAAAGGGATCTTGGGGGAATTGGGTCTAAACGTTGCTCGTTCGTTCCACGTTCCCTCGATAGCCTGGCTAACTAATCCACGAATTCCCACCTTCTCTTCCCTTCTTCCTCCTCCTCCTCCCCTTTTGCGACGGGCAAAACAGTTTCCAAGGGAAGCTTAATCCCTTATCCTATCTCTCTTGAAATTTATCACCGCGCATATAGCCAGGCCTCTTTCTTTTTGTTCGAAACTCGTCGATTTCTTCTTTATCGGGAACATTTCAATGCAAAAACGAAACTCTTTTGCCTTTTGATTTACAATGTATAATAATAATAATAATAATAAGCGAAACGCGAGTTATTACATTCGTTTCAGGAGGATCAAGTTTCGTATAAGTATAGAACGAGACGAGCAACAGCGGTAATATTAGTAGTAGTTGTTAATAGGTTTTTTTCAAAAGGAGGCTTCGATCAAAGGATAACCCGTTATCAGAGGCGGCAAGCTGCGTGGCACGCATCCATCCCTCCTCCTCTGTTTCGCCAGAGGAAATCTTGGCCCACCTTCATCCTTGCTCCATCCCGACTCCAGGCCGACTGCGACGCAGGCTGAATACTAATCGCAAACGCTGCGGTCTACCAAAGTCGGATCGATAGCGGCCGCTCTCTGGAATCACCGGGGTGATACACGATGAAATTCGATTCCCCGATCGAAAGCTTTTTGTCGTTAGATATTCATGCGCTCCCCGCTAGGGAGGGGAGCTTAAGAATTTTTCTTCCCCCCTCTCCGATATTTATGAGAGTTACCTGTTATGCATGAAAGGAGGGTGGGGGCGATCGGGCGCCGGATTTCTCGAATACGTTTCCTCCCTGATCTGAAACAATTCGACGGTATCTTCAACGCGACATTCTCCCCCCCTCCTTCGATTCAAGATCGTAAATTCTATTCTTGCTTGTTAGAGGGATCGTAGTAGTTTTATCTTTGTTTCTTGTCTTTTCCTTTCCTCTACATCTCGGATACACTCTTTTCCCGGATTAATTCTCGGTTTCGATTACCTTTGATTTCATCAGCATCTCCTTCAGGATTCGTTGAATTTCCGCCTGCGCCTCGAGCGCGTAAGGTCTCTCCAATCTTTTCAGGAAACGCGTGACGGTCGTGGAGAATATATCCCATTGATCCGACTCGCTCTCGCAAGTGTAGCTGCTCGACGCCGTGCTGTACATTCCCACAATTCTGAATTCCTGATTTTCCTGTTTTTAGCATGGTAATCGTCATCAATCCTTCTTCTCGTTTTTTTTTTTTTACGAGGAAAAGAATAATATTCATTCGGATAGAGACGTGCGTATGAATAAAAAATTCATTGTTGTGGAATGTTTTTGTCCTTTTTTGTCTTTCAGATCCCGTTAACAAAATTTCACTTGATATTGATTGATCGTACGATCGATGTGTGCGACGATAATTTTTCTTAACAACGAAGAATTATCGTCATTTTCACGATCTTTTAAAAAGAAAAGAGCAAAGGGTTTTGGACGTTATCATCGTTTCTTCGAGAATGTTACAAGGAACGAAGGAGTTAGGTAATAGAAATATCCGTTAAAAAAGTTACGGGGCGCAATGGAAAAGGAAAAAAGAAAAGAAAGGAAAAGAAATGCCAAGATCGAGGAAAGCGAAAAAAACATTCCACGACGGACTCGTGAACCGAATCGTAAGGAGGGATTTATTTCGTATCATCGTGATCTACCTGTCGCCTGTCCATCGTCTCATCGTCCCCTGACGAATCCTTGCGCCGTTTCAATCTCTCGCAGCAGGAATTGGTCGAGCGTATCCTACACGAAACGGATCTCTCCATTTGTTTCTTAGCGTTTGATATCCTGCCGCAAGAGTGGGAGCAAGTTCGAGAGTGGGTCTTGATCTTTGGCAAGGAGATTGCTGGGGAGCTGATCGAGAAACCACGGGGGGAGACGGACGTGGAGCTTTTCACGCAGCTGCTTCTACGCGATATGCATCGAGTGCAGTTGCATCTCGGTGAAAACTCTTCCGATTCTCTGCGCTCGCCGCAAGATTTGTCTATTTTCTGCGAAAATTCGACGTTGCTCGTATATATATATATATATAAAACAACAATTGGAACAATCGTTGGTAATCTAGAAAATACTCTAATCTTTAATCGTATTTACGATATTTGCAGGCTCGTGCATTCGGGGAGGGGGGCTCCATGCCAAAAGATTAAATGACCGTAAAAGCATTCGGGCTCAAAAGAAAAGAGATCGAGATGACTTTAAAAAAGTATTTTCGTTCCATCGTTGCCGAGAATTTAATGTAATGTATAATTCGAAACGGAAATAGGAGGCGATTTATTCATAATCAATTGTATTCAAGAGATTTCTATTGAAAACAAACTCGTTGGATTATTTCGGTCGGACGGTGTCATAATCACGGTTAATTAAAGAGAGAGAGAGAGAGAGAGAGAGAATTTATAATAAAAGGTATAACGACGTGGAGCCCTCCCCTTCCCCTCCCTCCGTATAACGAGAAAGTAGCGAGCCAACGTAACGTTTATTGTGAACGTGTTTGCCGAGGTCCGCTACGCTAATGGCGTGTATAACGAGTTGATCGATACGAACGTGCAACTCGACTGCCTCGTCGTAATCCAGGTACGGGTAGAGAAATCGATGCAATTCATAGAACCACGGTATCTGGACCTGGTAGCAATAACCGTTCGATTTCGCCTCCAACAGATTTCTCAACTCGTTCACGTATAATCGCCTCATCTCACGAATCTTCAAAACGATCTCGACGAACGTTACCCCGGGCAGATTCATGGCAAGATGGATCCGGGCGTAGGCACGATGCCTTTGCCCGCTGTTCAAGTAGCTCCACGTGTCCTTCTTCCATAGGCACGGCGATTTTCTGTAAAGGGACGCCAATTTGCGGAAATGACGATTAATCCATTCCTGTTGGTCGACGATCCTCCGTGACAATCGTTCCGAGGAACAGTCGCTCATTGTGCGTACGAGTTCCCCCCGTTACGTCGCCCTCTCGTCATCGTGGCTTTCGGCTCGAGTGGAAACGAGATCGGCGATACGTTATGGTTATCCCGACCCCGGGGAGCATCGTTGCAACGTTGAAGGTTAGGTCAGGAATCGAAGGGAAATCGAAGAGGTGTTTTTTTAACCTTAGAAAAAATGATTGAACTTTTCAACTTTGGAATTTTCGAACGCGACGTCGAGCGAGGAGTATAACAACGCGAGAATACACCCTTCGATCGTCTCGTTAAGTCAATGTCATCTTTGTCGAGATTAGGGTTATACACGTGTACGGTATACACGGTTGGGGTTGGGGGGGGGAAAAAAAGGAGAATTTCGAAGAATTCTCTTCTCCCTTCCCTTTCCTCATCCCTCCATCCTTGCTTGTTCGCGCGTCTCGATTCGATATTTCGACTCGACGAGAGTCGTCGAGGCGGCTACGATCTCGGGATTATTTAATTATTCAATTTACGGAATTTAATTTAATATAATACCTTGATCTTGAGTACCTTGTCCCCTCTCTCCTTCTAAATTACAGATAAATCTATAATTTCACGATTGTAACGATGTTATTGCAGGTATACTCGCCGGTTTCTCTGATATACAGACAGTTTTTCTAGCGTGTATCTCGACGTTGCTGCCGTTGATCGTCGCGCTGGGGATCGCCTTCGGCGTCAGGTAAGAGGAAATATATTCGTAGCTTTCACGCAACGTACGTTTAGAAAAGTTTTTTCGCAAACATTTAGCCCCTCTCCTTTTACGATCGCCACTTATCGGCCAACACTTTACACACACATACACACACGCAAACACAGGTACAAACGCGCAAACAGGTGCGCACGTCTCCCGAAAAGAAAGGGAAAAAAATAAAGGACAATTTCAGTTTTTGACGTTTAGTATTTTATTCCTCGAGCTACGATTATTTTTTTTTCTTTCTTTCTTTCTTTCCTCCACAAGGTCGCATCCATCTTGAAACTTGTATCGGGAATTATCTTAATTAAAGTCCACCCTGTCAAAGGAAGGGGACAGGTGACACGACATCCATATTTATAAATATTCTTTTATTCCCACCATTTTTGGGGAGCACACCTGCGCCAAACGGATCCAGACGCGCGTTTGTACCGTTTCTCGGTCTCTAAATTCGTAACTGTGGGCCGAGAGATCGCGCTAAGGGACGGAGAGAGGGAGAGAGAGAGAGAGAGAGAGAGAGAGAGAGAGAGACGAGATCCGCGTCTAACCGCACAAAGAGGAAAACCGTTAAGTCAGCGAATGGGTTAACGGTACCAACGATAGTCGCGTTATAACTGAGACTAAGAGGGGAGAATCTCTCTTTCTCTCTTTTTCTCTCTGCGTGTGTCGCGAAAGCGAAAGCCCAGACGTTGATTAATTAAAGACAAAGCCGGATGCGGATCGCGCGACTCGATCATTGTCTAAAATCTATTGGCGGTTGTAAGACACTTATATCGCATTCGTGGGCAGCAAATTCACCGGTTGATCGATTGTCGCCTCGACTTCGACGTGATCTCTAATCCCTTACGATGTATCGACAGCTAAGCGCGACTCCCAACCCTTGCTCCTCGACGAGGTTCGAGTCAAGGAAGCGAAGGTCGGAGGCATCAAGGTCGGATCACGATTTGGCACGATAGGGAAGGAGAATTAATCTCGAATGTTTGGATGATTTTCATTTTTCTGAGTGAAATCTCCGTCGTGGATAAACGTTCTGAGAAAGTAAATTTCTGCTGCTAAATCTTTCTTACAGATGTATCGACGGTTAAACACTCAAGGGGATGGAAAGAAATCGTTTCCTTTTTTGGGATAAAATAAATTATTACGGATTACGCCATATTATCGAACGAAGGTGATTTGAATTTTCAATAATGGTTTTAATGGTTTCAACCGGTTAATTAATACTCTTGGATCGAATCTCACGCGCTAAGCCACACGCATTGTGTACTTTTCATTCTTACGTGGTGAAAAAAATGTTTACCGATTGTTAGCAATATGCAGCAAGTTGAGAATTTTCCCTGTAACCGGGATGGAGAACAATAATCCTCGGCGTTATTGCAGAGAAATTTGCAGAGAAGAGGATTATTCGATGATTCGATTGGAGGGAACGAGGACGGAATTATTCGACGATTGTTCAACCGGTTCGAAATTATTTTGAAAACTCGCGAAACCGAAGCTGATATCACGAAACAATCTCGAGATATTTGCGATAATTCGTTGTGTTGTATGCTCTGCAAAAATAAATCGAGATGGAGCAAAAGCGCATCGATACGATTCCCTTGCGCGAAAATAATCCATTCGTTAAAATGGATCTTACATTACTGTATCGTTAATTTCCTTATCTTTAATTTTATCTCGATTCAAAGAACACCATTCATTAGCAGATTTGTTGGTCGAAAACTTTCCTCGCTCGTCTCTTTTCCTTCTTCTTTTATAATAGACGCCAAACCAATCTCTCAATTAAAATTTCTCTCCGATGGAAAGTGGAAAGAATCTTGACAATATCCACTTTCGAGCGTACTTATTTACACGGGATATTAGATATTAAATCGTTCGTTTTTTAAACGCGTGACTTTTTCTAAGAGTGACTTTTTTTGTTTTTTTTTTTTTTTACAGGCACGTGTGGAGAAAATACCGAAACAGGCGAGACAGTTCGAGTGGATTGCCCTGGTACAGGAGTGTATACTCTCGAGACAATACAGCCGAATCCTTGCATCATCGCCCCCACTCGGGAGGCACCACCATTCAATCCGCCACGAGGATCCTCTCTGCCCAAGACGTGAGTACTTTAACGTTACGCGTTACTCGTTGTCTCGCTTTCCGTCAATTTTACTTACTCAGGGGGTGTGTAATTTTCGAGGGGGAGGGAGAGGATGGTCAGGGTTTAGGTCAGTGAACACGTGGCTGTCGGTGGAGAGATGCGGTGTCCTTGACGAGGAAATGTTCGGAAATCGATCGACTCGACCGAGGTTCCATCGACCGATTCGGGTGGCTAGCCCAGCTAGCCGATGCTAATTTCGACGTCGTCCGTTGAATAAATAAAACGGCATAGTCCGGCCCGTTTCTGAAAAATTGAACCACGTTCTCGAGCGTGGAAAACGGAATTCTCACGCCCCAGTTGCTCTCAGGCCAACCTTCCAACCTCCATCCATCCATCCATCCATCCATCCAGCCCGCATTTTTCTTCACGAGATTTCATCGAGATAAAATCAGATTTCCAGGAACAGCTTTTAGAGACAAATTTCAGAGGCGACAACGTTCTCCGCAACATCCGAACACGCTCGAAAGCGTTTCGATGAAACGACATTCATTCATTCATTTCATTTCATCGTACTTGGTATCCGTATTTATTCGTCGAAATGGGAATTTAAGAAATAACATTATAGCGATTTTCACTAACACTATCTTCGAATTTGACTCTGAATCTTCCAAAGAGGCGTGTCTAACAATCCCTGACAATTATTCACCATTTCTAATCCCGCAATTTTTGCTTTCGTTCGTAGCGGTGAATCAATTCGATCGACAGGAAAATCGCTAAAAAAAAGAAAGAAAAAAAAATGGACGAATTGGCGCGACGCTTTGACAAATGTTCCAGTGCAAAATAACGAGAGTCAGCCAGATCATATCGCTTGTACGAACGGAATGGAAGAGAAAAGGATAATCGTCTCTCTTTTTCTCCCTCCCTCCGAATCAATTATTCGTGGAATGGACGTGGCACGTGCTACAACGCGGGATGTACATTGTTTTTCCATTAACAACGCGGGCGCAAAGGAATCCTTTTTTTCTTTTTATTCTCGTTGGATTTTCATCGACGCGAAATCTTATTTCTCGCTCCGGCTCCTTCGTTCATCATCGAACGAAAAATATCGTCGGGAGAGGGGAAAAATTTTCGGCTCGGCTTTGTCGGAATCCCTTCCGGTTTCCCGCCGGATTATATTCCGGATAAACGAGCGCGCCAAGTCGAGGAAGCGGCCCGATTATGCTCGAAAGTTTTGCCACGGCCACGCAATTATCCCCAGGGTTTAGCTTCGGTCCGGTATCTCGAAGAAAGCACTCGTGAGAAAGGAAAAAGAGAATTTTTTCTCTAAGTTAAGAAACGAATCCCCTAAAAGACGCTCTTCCTTTCCGTTACACGCGAATGATAATCCTCGACGAGATACACTTTCGATGGATACACCCGTTTTCGTTTGTTTGGCGAACATTTTCCTCGCTCGAATTTGGAAAACCGGTTCTCAACTTGGCTGCCTTTCAAATCCAATGGAGAGTTCGCGCCCAACTCTCCGTTACAGCGGAGTTGCTTTTGTCCGTTTGTCCGTTTTTTCGATTGCTCGCGCGCGTCCATTCCATCGTTTCGTCTTGTGTGTGCAGAGAGTGGGAGTGTGTGGGGTGGATCGATCCATTTCGAGGATGAAAGATCGTGTAAACGAAAATAAATGATATTTTCAACGTTTGTTTGATTTCGATTTTTTCTTTTTTTTCTTTTTTTTCGTTTCGGGAGAATATTCTTGGATGAAAACAAAAATTACATTTTCTTTTTTGAAAGTTAAAAAAAAATTCAAAGTTAAGCATGATGTGTGAAAGGAAAAAAACAGATTATTTTTTGAATCTCTTGCACAGTTAAAATTAATTTTCGTTCTCTTATTTTTCTTCTTGCTCACCAAATTCTGCGTGGGGTTCATATTAAAACACGTTTAATATTAAGTCCAGCGTTTGCGAAGTTTGTAACGAATTAAAAGTAAGTTTAATTATAGACGCGTTATGTACGTCTTAAATCCTCCTAAATATAAAACTTGGAAAATTGCTCGCTCTGTACTCTGTACTTATATTAAACGTATTTTCCCGCGAAATAATTCAAAAAATTTCGGGAAAAAGTTTTGAATTTGAAACGATCGATCCATCTCCATCCACTAACGTCCATTAATCCACTACTGTAACATACGATTCTCTTTACGATCTATCTAAATGAGAAATATAAAAAAACTCTTCGTATAAGGCCACCACTTTCCCCCATTTGTATTATCGATCGATTATTAACATCGAGATGGAAGGCCTTCGATCGATAAAAATTCGCTTGGATCGTAAACTCGAGCTCGAGCTGTCAAAAGGATACGTGGATCGAGAAATTACGTCGCGTAATGGAACATGACATCATCATCTATCCGTAGCAGCTGAGTCCCGTTCCCGAAATAAGAACATTTGCTCTTATCAGACATCGATCGAATATGCAAAAACGAAGCTCGATCGTAGTCGAAACTGTTATCCTTCAATTCCGTGTGGACGGTGTCGAGTTTTTAACATGCTGCTTCGAGTCTGTACGGCACAATATAGGTGAAATGACTAGGGCGAACATCATCAATTCGATTCAATCATCCCTTCGTCACTCCATGCATTTTTCCTACGTTGCGTTTCGAAATATTCAGAACAATTGGATGGGATCATGGATGGAAATTGGAAAATACTTTTTCAAAACCCGTAAAAAATTATATAACTACGAAGCGTCGAAACCACCGACAGTGTTTAATTAGAACGTTAACAGGAAATAGAGAAGGGTGATGGATGTTTATCGAGGTATGACTCTTGAAGTGTAACAACCTTTTTACCAAAAAGCACCAAAAACAGGTTTCGTAAAATGAAATCTCCACGATCTTTCAAACACTCTTTTAATCCGGGATGGTAGCACGGGGTTGAAACGTTTAAAGAGAATTTTTATTTTCCGACAGAGCCCGTTTGAAAAAAGAAGAAAGGGCGATATGATCTCTAATTTTAGCCTTCAACGTACCACCTTCGTAACCGTACGTGAATGCGGAGAAACGAATTCGTAAAAAAGAAAGCCGTTGAAAGGATGGAGCGAGAATAGGGAGGATTTGCGATCTTTCGTAATTTTTATTTACGATTCACGTACGATTCGACGAAGAATAAAAATGTGGCAAAGGACGGTGTGTTGTCGCTGTAAGAAAGAAAAACGCTCGTCTCGGAACTCGCCATTAATTTTATCGACCGTTCGATGACACGGTGCACCAAGTGTGAGCGATCACACACGTATATAAAGCACGATCGTTCAAGTTGGGCTGAAAATACCGAGAGCGGCCGTTTCTGGCGGCAGTGACCTGATTTTAATTTCACGCGTGCTCGATACGCCACGCTTAGATGAGTTCACCTTTCCTGTTGTGTTTTCGCTCACGCCTCTCCAGCCAAAAGTTTAATCGCCGACCGGAATGTAAAAGAGCGAATTCCTCGCTCTTCTTTCACCCCCCGCGACATTTGCGCCGCGTCAAAGAGCCTCGTCGAGAGATGTTCAAGACGCGGGACTCGGTCGTGGTGGTAAAAAAACACCGTGGTCTACGCTTGTTTATCGAAATTATTGCATAGAGACGGGGATGAAACAGAAAGAGTTTCCCGAACTCTCGGTCGACTTGCTTCCTTTGAACTGGTCAACTGGGACTATGAACTATCCCCCTCGTGGCTATGCAATTTCTATAAACAGAGGATGGCCTAGAAAGGAAGGAGGCTAACGTTTAAAAAGAAGCTTGATGCAAGCGTTAGAAAAAAAAGGGAATCTAACGAGGCGCTATGCTAAAAAAAAAAAAAAAAGAAGAAAAAGGCAGGACTTGGTTTTTCATTCGACTCGTACTATACAGGACGTGGATGGACGTGCATTACGTAGTCAAGGGGTCAAGGAAAAAAAAAAGAAAGAAATGTGTGTACCATCGCGTTCCGGATGGGATAGGACATAGTTTCAAGAGACAAGATTTCTTTTTTTTTTTTTTTTTTTTAACCACATTGATATTCTTCCAACCTTCGTGTTGTCCGCTTTGAGAGGAACAACGGAAACGGTGCCGCGGGTTAAGTAAGTAAGGGAAAAGTAGAGGAAGGTATCTCGGCTGAAAGGTGTCTAATTTGAACGATGAGTTTTTCGAGAAAATAAAGTTCCACCTCTCAACAATGGACAATGAACTTTGTGAAAGAAACGTATATATATCATCATCGTTGTGCATACGCGATCTCTTTCTAAAATATCATCGATATTTCATCATCTCATCAACGACTTCATCGTCTCTCCTATATTAATTCTCAACGATCGATCGCCCCTCTTTTATTCCTGCCTGTTAACGATCGTTAAAAAATATAACTTTCCGGGTAAAATATCTCGGATCACGAGTGGAAACGAGGTCGAAGTCGAATCGACGAGTTGGAAAAGCCAAGGAGAGAGAGAGAGAACGCGTATCCCATCCTTTCGAAACGAAACGAAACCTTTTAAAAGACACCCGATTTTTACGGCGGACCGCAAAAGTTCACGAATAGCACTTTGTCCGCCCCCTTTGCCACCGTTTCCCCGCCCAACGGGGACCCGCGGGGCATAAGGGTACCGGCTCCATTCGACGTCGATTTTTCTGAGTGGAAAAAAATCTGTTCACGTCGACGTCGATATTTGTTCCTGCTGGTGTTGTTCTCGCTGAACGATGGTCGAAATTTGAGGGAGGAGGAGGAAGAGGGGAGAAAGAAAGGAAGAAACGAAGGAAGGAAGGAAGGTGGATTTAGGATAAACCGCATCCCCTCCCCCTCTTCCTTAGAAAATATTATCGTGGCTCGAATTGCACGAGCATTGCCTGGCGCATTTCGAACGAATAAAACGAGGCTGCGACCGCAAAAGTCCGTAACGAGCGGCATTCAAGAATGGCGGAACGATGCCTTTGCACAAAGTACATCGCGCGCGACCCACGATGATCCACAGAAACACGGACAATGCATGCCAGATGACGGTGCGCACTCACCTCCTCGCCCCTTTCCCCCCTTTTCTTTTTTTCTCTTCTCTTTCTCTCTATGCAGTGCTCGAGTTACTAAGTAGCACCAGCTTGTACTGTCATTATCATCTGACCTTTTTGTAATTCGAGGCCGAACCTTGTGTCAGAGAGAGCATTATTGCACGGAATAATTTTTCGAATCACATCCGGGACAAATAATTCAAAACGCGTCAAGATTCAATTTCCAACGATTCCCATTCTTATTCATTTACGATCTCGAGTCGTTCGTATCTATATATATATATATACTGAGATTTTTGTTTATTTACACCCCTCCCTCGTCCGTTTCTTTATCAGGAGGATTGATTATTCGCCTCCCCTTGCCCCGCGATCGTAGGAACAATTAGAATCCGTCCCATAATCCGAGTCAATTTACCACGTTAGCGATCGCAATCACCGGGAGAAACTTGAGGGTATGAATAGTTATCGATGCAACCGCGATCTCTCTCCTGGCTGGATACATGCACCGGATTTACGGTCCACGGTGCACTGATTTCTCCAATGTGTCAGTTGGGCCGGGAGGTCGGAAGCGGTTACGGTATCCTCGTCTGGCACGTACGGCCCATGCTCTTGCATTCGATTTGCATGCAGGAAATTCTAGCGTCGTACTAAACCAGAATCGATTACGCGATGCACCCATTTACGGACAGATTTTCTCTCCATCTCTCCGTCATTATACAGTCGTCAAATTTTTCCTCCCTTTGGAAAGTCTTCTTTTCGAGGCAACTTTCCTTCCGTTCGGAGAGAATCAATTATATCATATTTTTAGTAGGAAGTAGGAAGTAGTAGCTTGCATCGAAGAGTATATATATTCTTTTTATGAAAAGTATTACAGGGATTTTAGGAATCGTTTCTTTAAAGGATCACCGGGAGAAATTTATACTCGCATTAACTCGTAATCTCCAGACTCTCTAACTCTTTCGAGATAACACGCGGAGAAGATCGAGATCATTTTGGGACAATTTGTCTACCTAAACGTGCCACGGTATATATATATATATCTCGCTTAAAAGCTGTTAAAGTTGCGTTTGATAGTTTAATCATAACCAGACCTCGTTTTTCCTCGTTTCGACCCAGTTCAGACCTCCCCCCTCCCTTTGAAACATAAATTCGCAATTTCGGCCGCGCAAAAGCCTTCTCCTCTCCTCCCCTCCCTTCTTTCTCCCCTAAAGGAAGATTAAAGATACCTATCCAGCGCGTTAGACGCGCAGATACTGCACGTTTTTTTTTTTTTTTCGAAGCGACGCGAAAGCATTTTAGCAGTTTCGCCTCTATTTTTCATCCCGTGTACTCGTTGCATTTACCGGTGGTAGTGGCTTACCTCTGTCCATATTTCAGCCGATAAAGGATAATACAGTGGATTCTGTGGGGCAGTAGCTCTAACACTGAGTATCTTTCGTCTATACTCGATTCTTTCTCCCTTTTTCTTTTTTATCGCACAACCCTTCTGCTCGCATCATCCCTTCACCTTCTTCACTTGTTCCTCGCTCACTCATCTCATATCGATCTACGATCACGATCACTGCTCGTGCCAACTTTTTTATTCTTTCACACACACACATACACACACACACACACAACAATAACAAGGAGAGAAATTTTCCTTCTTCTTCGTATCACTCGAATCGAAATGCGGAATTCACTCGCACGAGCACTCGCGATGATCTCTCTTCGTGGACGTGAGACGACGTTTCCCAACCCCAGCCAGCCAAAGGCGAGGTGTCGGCGCGAGATTTCGGGACGCGATAAAAGATTAAATCTCGGCAGGGGACCGTGCAGGGCACGGACTCAGAGGCGGAACTGCACTTTAATCTCTTCACGCGAACGATAGGAGGATCACCAATTCTTCGCCAATCTCGCGGGTGAAAAGGAGAATTGGAGAGATAAACTCGATTTTGAGAGATGTTGGCAAGGGGAACCTTTCCAAGAAAACTTTGTAAAGAGAGAGAACTTTGAAACGTCGTGAAGTTGTATCGGATGGAGCGGATGATGATCGGTGCGACGATGACTCGAACGGAAAAAAAGGCTTTGTGGAGAGGACAACGAGAATCGGAGAGGATATTCCCCAGTTTAGAAGGGGGAAGTGGAGAAGTGGAGACGCGCGCGAACTTCGCCGCCTCCGACGGCCGATGCACCTTGGAACAGGCGAGATACGCGCGCGAGTTGCATACGTGCGAGTTATGTTAACGATCCGAGCATACGGCCGCGATCCAATTTTCCACGTGCCTTTGTACGTGTGGGGCACGCCATGCCGAGGGTTTAAGCGGTTTAACGGGCCTGGCCCGTGTCATAACGCGGCCACCTGTCTAAATGCGATTGCGGATCGCGCGGTGAACCGGCACACCCCGATTCGATAATTTTACGATCCGTCCGTGTTTGTACAAAGCTTTGTCCGAGCTTTATTGTAAGGGAGGAGGAGGGGGACGGTCGGGCCCGGGCCGAAGGAAATGGAAAATCGGAGGAAGCGCGTCGGAGAAAAGGAATCGAGCGAGGAGTGCGCGATGATTCGCGACGAAAGGTTTTTTTTTTTTTGTTTGGAAGAGAAAAAAGGGAGAGGGATTTGCGAGAATGGAGGGATGGAGGGAGGGATGGAAAAGTTTGGCGAGGAGATTCTTCTCGTTCAAGGGGGCGAGGAGGACCGATTTCAGGATGGCGGTGGGCTCTCCCTCCCCGATGGGCGAGGACATTGGGATCAGGGAATTGGATCACGTAATAAATTACCCGTCGATCGACCGAGCCCTTCCCCTTCAACCTCCCCTTGAAAATTATAATACGAAAGGCGATAAATCACACAGAATTCGTTAAGAAACGATTTCCACGCGCACGAATTTCCACCGGTAAATCTTGCAAACTTGGGCTGGAAATCTAATAAATTCACGCGCTACTGAGCTGAGGTGGGAAGGAGGGGGAGGGAATATTTTCGCGGTTTAATCGTTGCTGTAAATCGTCGAGGATGGCCACCAGACTCGCGCACTTCATCATCGAAAACACAATTCCTTTCGTTACTCCTCTCTCTCGTTACCTCGGGACTCATTTTTCCGGGACGATAAGTCGGCAAAGATCGATGGCGGAGATACGGAAAAATTCAATTTCCTTGCTGATTCGGTCATAAGGGGATGGTGAGTCCCCCTTGGTGGCGTTTCCAAGAGGCGTGGGCGACGGTGCGTGCCCAATTCCAAGAGAGATGATAATCGAATTTCTATCTCGAGATCCATCCGTACGTGGCGGCACATGGAGGATCACCAAGGTGGTGGATCCCCCGTCGACGAGTTTCCAATCGCCGAATTTTCATCGCGTTTAACCGGTGATCGTGTATCGCCGTTCGATCGCCGGGACGATTGTTCGCGAAAATTGCAGCGGCGTTGGATCATCCAGGGGAGGGATGCAAAATTTTCCGACCGGTGGCACTTCTGAGAATCGAGCTCGACCGAATTCTTCCAAATTCGATTCGATCGAACGCGCTCTCTCTCTCTCTCTCTCTTTCTCCCTCCCCCTTTCTCTCTATCTCGTCTCTCTCGACTTTCCCTCATTAGATTTTACGAAGTCGAAGAGCCTTTTACGTCGCTCGTTTTCCCGACGGCGATGGAAAAATGGTTGTTGAGTATATCGCGCGAAATATCATGTTTCACGGGATAATCGGCGAATTGGAAAACGTCCTTCCTTCCGTCGAAACCGGCCGACCTCGGGCCTCGGTACACCACTTTCACCGTGTGAAAAATCCATTTCCCTCGATCGAATTTTCCAACGCGATCCTCCCGGCCACTTCGGCCCAACTATTTTCCAGTAATAGTAAGCGCGAGGCTTGTCTATGTCTGCCGCTAGTTGCTCGCGTAGTACTCGAGGGTGGGGGGTACCGCGCGCCTTCTTAAAGCTTTGCGGTTTTTTCAAAAGCGGCGCGCCGTCCCCACCACCGCCGACCAGCCCCCCCACCACCGGACGTTGCACTCCGTCCCTCGTTCGAGTTGCATTCTCTCCCTCTCGCTTCCTCCCCGCCGCCTTCATTTGCGTCGCTATTCGCCCGTCTCTCTTCATCTCCTCTTATCTCGCTCCGCTTCCCTCTTTCTCTCCCCCTTTCCACTTCTCTCTCTCTCTCTCCCTCTCTCTCTCTCCTCTCTTTCTCTCTCTCCTCTCTCTCTGCCTCCGCCACTCCTCTCCACCGCTCCTCCATGCCTCTAGCTCTTTTTCCGACACGATCGCCTGCATCGGCCTGCCTTGCCAGCTCCGCCGGCCTGGCTATGCAGCCTCGACGCATGCACCGAACGAATGCACGCAACGAATTCGAATTTTTACCCGGAGAGCAAGCAGCGAAGAAATCTCTCGCCTTTTCCCCCGTCCGATATCCCGTCCAATCGAATTTCCCGTGCTCGTGGCCGAAACCGAGCCGAGGATATTTCGGCGGAAATATATTACGGCGTCCGGCTCGTTATTGCCGCACGTGTTTCGCGAGGAATCGCGCGAGCCATGATATTTTTACGAGCATGAATAATTTATGCTCTAGCGCTGCGAGGCGCGGAGATGTCGCAACAGTTGGCGATCGGTTTACTCGGCCCCCGCTTTGCACCGCTTTTGTGTTACCGATTACCCAATCTGATATACCGATACGTATACGTATATAGATATATAGTGCGAAAAACTGGACGCGTTAAACTCGATAACCATTTTCTTTTCTTCTTCTTCTTTTCTTTCTTTTTCTGGGTCGAATTTTAACGGAAAATTAGAAAATTCTTCTCCTTCTCTCCCTCTCTGCCATCCATCGTAATTTTCCGCGAAATTTCGTTCGAGAAGTTGCCTTAGGGAAGCGGCGGGTACAATTCGAGTAACTGTAAGATAAATAAGGGTAATTATTTCCGCTACCAGGTACGCTTCCGTGGACCGGGAGTCACGCGAACAAGCGAAAAACACGAGATCGTCGCCCTTCTCTCGTCGAAACGCACGATTCCACAGCGGGAAATTAATCTCGATCGACCGAGATTTTTATTTCCGCGCGACGGCGTAAAAATTGTCGGAGGAAATCGCGACGCATCCCGATCCCTGGATCAATAAGCGTTTCCTTCGGGGAAAACGCTTGCCAAGGCGATCGACCGATATTTTTATTACGGGTTTTTCTTTTTTGTTGTCGTTGCTGCGTGCCAGCGCGACAACGGGTCAATTTTTCTCGAAGCTCGGAGGGGAGGGGAATGGAGAAATTGGTTGGATTCTCTTCTTTCTTCCTTCGATCCTCCTTTTTCCAATCATTTTTCCAAACGAAACTTGGATATCGAACGACACGACGTCGAAAACTCCCCCCGGTTAATTCTCGTCCATAAGATCCAAGAACTCGCCGATTCGGGAGAGATAAAATCCTGCCACGGTATAAAATAAGCGGATGGGCCGCCTCTCTCTCTCTCTCTCTCTCTCTCTCTCTCTCTCTCACTCGCTCCCCCTTCCTCCCTCTTCCTCCGCCGAGATGCACTTGGCTGCAAGCGGGGAGAACTAGCTGGACGCGGCGCTAATGCGCCTGCTAACCTTACTTTCGCATTGCTAGACTCAATTCATGCCAAGGCTGACTGGGTGCGTTGCCCTCCATTGCCCCTATACTGCCGTCATTGGTGGCCCCCTCTCGCCCGCCCCCTCCCCCCCGGGAGCCCTGGCAGTCGCCGTCGCCCGATGCCACGCCGCCCACCGACAGTTTCTTGCCCCCTTCGACCCCTCCCCACCCCCTTCCCTCGGCCAGCCCCTGCTAGGCGACTTGGTCTTCGGCTGCAACGGCTGCAACGCCTGCAACTCGCCGGCTCCAGCCTCTCCGTCTTCTTCCTTCGGTTTTCGGCTTCGCCTTCCACCACCACCACCACCACCACCACCACTACTACTACTGCTACTACTACTACTACTACTACTACTACTACTACTACTACGAGCCGCTACCTCTCCACCACGTTGTTGCCTCGAGCCGCGACTCTTCCAATCGCCTTAGACCTTAATCGGCTGCTTACGACCTAAGTGTCCTAATTTCTCTTCCCTCCGTCTCGAGAGTTGCTCGAACGGAGCACTCTCTTTTCTTCTTGCCTTCCCCTTTTCTCCCCCTTCTCCTCCGCACTCGTTCTTCTCTCTTTCTCTTTCTCGGCCCCCATAACCTCCTCCGATTATTATTTGCCGTATTTCGCGTTTCGACGTTGCTCGAAAAATATTTGGCTAGCAGATAGGCGTCTCGGGGGGAGGGGTGTGGAAGGATGGAGGGGTGGGCGATTGATAGACGAACCACCGTCTCGTCCCGGGAAAGGACGGAAATAGAATTCGGTGGAAGTGTTTTTTTCGCATCGAATCGCGGCAAATTCTATTTCCGTTTTTTCAAAAGTTTTGCGCACGCCCTCCCGTTATTCGCTGTTGCGCTCCATCGAAATCTCTTGTTTTCCGTCCTCCCAGGGACGGGATTCTCGCCTCGAGAGACTCTCGAGGCACGCGGATCGACTTTCCTCGCGTATCCTCGCCTCGCGGGGAACAATAGGCGTCGCTCGTAAAAAGAATTTTTATACGTCCGGTCCTACTTTTGTTCCGACAACGCGGGGACAAGCCTTGTTCCTTCTTTCCGCAAGAACCGCAAGAAGGGAGAGAGAGAGAGAGAGAAAAGGAGAGGTCTGGCCGTCTAAGTTTAAGGAGCGAAAAAAAAATTTTTCCAAACACCGCGTTTGGAACCCCGCGTTATCTTCTTATCTGGATCGCGTATTTGATCTTTGATAAGAGTCGAGATGGTGCGTCGCGCAACTACTATTTTCGAGCGAGATTGCACGAACGGCGTGCAACTATTTCTCGACTCGACTCCGCCCGTAGAATCGCCGCCGCCTATTATTAAAATCCTCGAGCACGGTATAAACACCCCCCCAAAAATAAAACTGTAGCGGAATTCGCACGAAGCGCGTCACGAAGATTTCGAAGACGAAGTTCTTACTCTTTTCTCTTCTCGAAGGGGGGAGATCGATCAGGGACGGGATCGATCGATTCCACGACGAGGATGCGATCGGTTTTTCGATTTTTTTTCTAGCTGCCTTTCTTCGGCAGCTAGAAATTCCGGGTGGATAAATAAAGGAGGGGAGAGAGGGGCGCGATCGCTGTCAGAAGAAGCACGGCCGTGTATTTGCATTAGCTACGAGCACGTCGTCGAACGCAACGCTTATTTATAACTTTTTCATCCGGCGAGTTCTCTTATCTGGCGCCTTGCCATCGCCGCTCTCCCTCCTCCTCTCCCTCTTCTTCTCTCTCTCTCTCTCTATGTTCATAGCCGTTCGTTCTCTCGTTGCAACTGCACAGCACGTTGATCACGCTAGCGACTCGCGTTCCTGGCCCATCGAGACGTTATTTTGCTTCGATAGACGCCGCGTTTTCGAGCGGAACCAACGCAAACAAAATATTCGAGAGGGCGCATCGTTGTTGGACGTCTCTGGTGAAATCCATTGAGGGGGATGGATATTTTATATCCTTGGATAGTAGGTTTTTTTCTTCTCCCTTCTTCGATGTTTTGCCGTGGCGAGTTGCAAAAAACTGGGAGAAGAAGTTCCGTTGGCGAGATCCAAGGGGGAGGAGGAGGAGAGAAAGGAGAGAGAGAGAGATAGATGCCCGTCGATCGTGGCTAATCGATTTTCGCGCTGTAACGAGCCGATTGGTATCAGCTGGCTCGATAAACTCGACAAAGCGTGACAGGAGATCGCAAAGGCCAGGACGTGTGACGCATCGTGCAATTTATGTTCCGCGCGAGGCGCATCGAAGCACGGTGGTTATCGCGATGGTTCAAACTCGTTACGTAACGAATTCTTCTCTGAATTCGACCACCGATCGATAATCGCGTATTTTAAGCAGTTTACAGATAACGCGCGCGAGAGAAAGAGAGCGTCATAATACGCGAAAGAAACGGTCAGGTCGATGCACGAGCTCGGAGGACACAGCTTCGCTCGTCCTCCTCCAAAGGATTGTGAAACGATGTACACAAGGTAGAGCGGTGCAAATTGGCGCTTGCATCGCTGCTGCTCTCTTTCGAAAGAGTTGCAACCCCAGCTCTCCGTTCCGTACACCTGTTTACACGAGTGCAACGCGCTCCCGCGTTGATATTGAAAGGATTCATCGAATCACCGATATTCTCTCTTTCTTTGGAAATCACTCGCAACGCCCTGACTATTGGAATTTTTCGTCGGCTCGCTGTAATTTTTGCTAAAATATACGCGACACACTTATCGTCGCGTATTTGTCAGGACGAAAGTCGTTATGCCGGGCGGCCTTGCATCTTTCAATGCACGCGCTTATGCACACGAACGGTGGTCGTGAATCACGTGGAAAGTTATGCGGGGCCCGGTCAAAATTCTACACACTTTGCCCATTGTTCCCGGTCGGAGCCGCTTTTAATTAAAATACATTCTACGCAAGTGTGTTACGATATTAAATATCGACACATACAGGCCAGCAGGTAACTTTCGAAAAACTTTGTCGACGAGCCGAGAAAAAGCATCCTCTTCTATATCTTCGCCATCTATATCCATTCCCCCTTTCCCCATTCTCGATCCCCCAATATCATAGCCGAGCTTCGTCCAATCTTTCGATTCCCCGTCCAAGTGGAAACCGATAAGTGCATCTGGCCGAGCTCTTTGTTCCTATCCCTCCTCGATATTTCCCCGAAAATTTCATTTCAATCCCGAAACATAGAGTCGGGATACACGTAACTCGATATCCATCCGACTCCTCTCGAGTTCGCCACCGTGCCCTCTGTCTATGCTCTGATAAAAATATCGCGTAAAAAAAAGAAAAACATTTCACGAAGAAATGTCTCGCGATTCGAACGAGATT